TTCAGCGGATTTTCGGCGGAAACTGAAACGAACATGGCGGAATCCTTCTAAACACATCTGGCAACACTGTTCATTTTAGAGAAACATCCTACGTATGGTTTAGACTCTAGCAGTGTTCACAGACGGACGGACAGATGGACGCGTCCGTCCGGAGGAATGTTATGAAAAAACAAGCACTTTTTCAACATCAGGGGGACACCAAAACGTGTATTTTTTGCGTTGAAATCTTGAAATCGATTTTTCGCAGTATTACATAACTTTTCCTATACTACGTATATTACTCCATATATACGTATGTTTACGGAGAAGTAAAAACAAAGGGTCAGTTGGACTTAAGCCAGCTGGCGCGCATTGCGTGTGCAAAAATACGAAGTTTATGATTCAAGTCTCATTGTGCTGTTTCAGTTTTCTTACTCTAGTAAGTGTTTAGGTTTATACATGGTTCATTGTGCGAGTTTGTATGAAGCAAGATCACTGTCTTGATCGAGGTCCAACCATCTAGAATATACTCTCTGGGATTAATCCCATAGAGCACAAATATATTCCTCCTCTGTGGTCCAACCAGAGAATATCTCTGGGTCCAACTGTCAAGCACACAAGTGTGGTGAAAAGCGGTGGTGCCAGCTAGTTGGAAAGTGAATATCGTACTTTGCCGTCTGTTATTATCGTACGGTGGTAATTAAAATTATCGTTCAATAATTAAACTAGTGATGTTACAGAATGACACAGACTTTCCCTTATTAGTTTTCTATGTTCTTCGGTTTCGGTTAGCTATTCGAACTTGCCACACATTCTTTCCTATCTTTACCTATCCCTAACTATTATCTATCCCTAACTACTAAACTGTGTAAATACGTATGAGGGGTGTAATGGCCAATCTGCCTTACAATTCTCTCGGGTCACAGAAAACTACCACCTTATGACATCGCTCCCTTTTTGTTACATCACAAGGCCTTAGTTTTATATTGTAATTGTATTTCTGAATCGAATTATCTGTGACGTTTTATTTGTATAAGACTAAGTAATTATGCGTTGCACATAATCTGCAGTGCACTTTAATTCAAATGGTTGTGTTTAAGTAAAACGAGAGTGACCGCCCATGAAAGTCGGGTAGTTGTTTAGAGAGTAGTAAAGTCGACTGTCCCATGTAGTAGATTTACTGCATGTAAAAGATACTCAAGTCAAAATGAAGCCTCTGGGCTAGTTAGTGAAAGGAGCATAGCGAAAGGGTATAGCGGAATAAGAAAAGTGAATTTGGACCACGATCAAACTAAAAGGATGATATTATCTACTTTGACTCAAAAATAAACTATAAAAACACATTTTTATAATTGTTTATGAAACTATGGTCATATAATATAAAACTAGTGACGCTATTTAGAAAGTAGTACATTCACATCAAAAGGAAATTGTTCTTGTAAAAATATATCCGAAGGAGATGTTTGGTCCCCTCTCATTTAAAATTTCATCCTGACACCACTGGTACAGCTAGTAATTAAACCACCTTCATTTTGGCAGCATTCTATATTTTCTCAACATCACAGCCATTACTTTACAGCTATTCAGATGACTGGAAAGAGAAGACGGAGTTCTTGAAAACAGTCAATGGGTAGTATAAATAAAAGTAAGCAATTACTCTTTGCTCCGAGTTTCGGAGATCCTTCTCAGTTTCGTATAAATAAAGTGGGTGAGCAGTTGGTGAATCTGAGCACTGGCTCCATCTCAGAGCGTACTCTCAACTAATTTTAATAAATTTATGCGCTTACTCTCTAGATTGAGCACTTGCTCCAAAATTTAGGAGGGACCTTAGTAGCAGACTCACGTTTGAAAAGTAAGGTTAAATTGGCCGATTTTTTTACCGTGTATTAATACGCAGATGCAGCGGACTAAAAAAAAAAAAAAAATACAAGATAAGGCAAAATTCTCGTGATGTAGACTATTAGAATCTTTGCCGATTCAAAAAGGGCAATGTATGGTTGGTACGATTTTTATCGGCATTTGCTTTCAGGCGCGTTTTTATATCGCATGTCTTCTATGTTAATTGTTCATCGCTCTTTTCTACTTGGAATTTTTCGGAGTACTGTTTTTTCAAACTTTATAATGTGTCGTATCGGACACAGCGTGCTTCCGGAAGCTGGCTCTTTTCAAAACTAATTTTATATTCGCTTAGCATTTCGGCGAAAACTAGCTGGGCCTCTGGCGCCTGTTTTTCGTTACTGCTACTCGTATTCGAATTTAAAGAACGAGACAACAAAACATTGCTTTTTATTCCGCACAAATGTGCGCGACGCGCGTAACGTATGTAACCTTTTTTTACTCAAAAAACCAATTTTTAAAACTCCTAGCCTGTGCTATCACATGTTCACGACGAGCAAATGCTCGCACGACATGAGTAAGTTCTTCGGAGACGTACGATGTTTTTATTCATATGAAATGGAGCTTCTGCTCAGTGCTGCGGAGTAGACTCACTTTGCTCCGAAGCAAGTGCTTCTTAGCAAGTGCTCATTTTTATTCATATGACCCAATATTTTGCGCAAAGTATTGTAGAGGTACCAATAGTCACTAGGAGTCTAATTACAACCTGGAGAATATTATATTATTATATTACAACCTGGAGTCCATGGAGGAGACGTCGCAATTAAGCTGTTCAGACAATTTTAAGTATATTTTTTCTAATAAACTACTTGGATATTCCAAATGCTTGCGCCGCAATAAGTATTCAAAAGTGGGGTTTAAAAAAGTGGTTTATAGACAACAATTTGCATTGCAGAAGCATAGAAAAATTCTAGAAACGTGTAAATTGTTTATTATTATTATTATTATTTTTCAGAACAACTTTTGAGTGTTTATAGCTGGTTAGCCATTCGAAATATCCAAGTAGTTTATCACTTGGTTATCAAAATATGTTTAAAATTGTCTTACTTATTGTTTCTCCTAAAAACCATCCCCCTATTTTGTACACTTTTGTTTTTGTTACCTTATCTTCCATTTCTAGTCCCTAAAATTCTCCGTCCACTGCCATTAGCTTCTCCAACTTACGGAGAAAATACCTTCTTCTTCTCCTCCTTCTTCTGCTTCTCCTTCTCCTCCTTCTTCTCCTCCTCGTCCTCCTCCTCCTCCTCCTCCTCCT